ATGTTATCTCCGCGGATGGCTTGAGGCCAGACGATGCAAAGGTGGCCAGCATACGTGACTGGCCAAGACCTCGGACTATTACTGAGGTCAGGTCAATTTTGGGGATGACGCGGTACTATCATCCGTTTGTGAAGAACTATAGCACTACAACTTCCCCACTAATAGACCTAACCCACCTTGAAAGCCCTTGGGAGTGGACTGAAGAGTGTGAGACTGTCGTCAAGAAATTGAAGTATGCTCTCACTCACTATGACGTCCTTAAACTTCCTGATCCTGAATTGCCATTTGTTGTGACTATCGGCGCTAGCCAGTATGGCATAGGCGCGTTCCTTGCACAAAAGGAAGGGAAAAAGTTGAGGCCAATCCAGTACATGAGCAAAAAAATGCGATCTCAAAAATTAGCTAAGTCCACTTACGAATGTGAGCTCTATGCCCTCTATAGAGCGCTGGTCCATTGGAGTCACTACCTCCTAGGCAGATTCTTTTATGTGAAATCTGACCATGAGACACTCGCTGGATCAAGACACATCATGTGCTCTCTGATGCACTGAAGAGGTGGATTGAAGTCATAGACATGTATGACTTCAAGCTCGACCCTCTAAAGGGAAAGTACAACAAGTGGTTGACGCACTATCGCGAACGGCGGACTATCTAGGCGCTCTAGTAATCGTGTTTGGAATATCTGACAATGTAACTCGATCCATGATGGAGGCCTATCAAGAGGACACAATCTTGTATGAGATCATTTGCAAACTGAAAGCTAAAGATAAGGCTACTTCCGATGAGTTTGTGCTGGTTGACGGCTTGCTGTTTCTTGAGAAGGCTGGGAATAAACGATTGTGTGTCCCAAATAGAGAGTCTTTGCGTAGTTTATTTTTAGGAGGGTGTCACGACGAAGCCGGTCATTTTGCGTTACAAAAAGACCTCAGCTAACTTAGTATAAAGATTTTAGTGGCCCACTATGCTGCAAGATGCAAAGAAGTATGTAGAGACTCGCAAGGTTTGTCAGAGGGACAAGCCTAGGACTCAGGCTCCTCTCGAGCTCATCAAGCCCTTGCGTATTCCTGATGGTCCTGGACAAAGTGTGTCCATGGACCTCATGGATACTCTTGTGAACAGCAAGAGTGGAAAAAGACAAATCTTTGTTATAGTGGACAGATTCACTAAGTTTGCTAGACTAATCGCCATGCCAGAAACAGCGAAGACTGACTATGTCATAAAACTGTTTATGAACAACTGGGTACGGGACTTTGGTCTGCCAAAGTCCATCATCAGTGACAAAGATGTTCGCTTTACCAGCGAATTGTGGCAAAGTACAGCCCAACAGATGGGCACCCAACTGCAAATGACATCAGGGAATCACCCTGAGTCAAATGGTCAAGCTGAACAGATGAACCAAGTAGTGCAGCACTTACTTCAGCATTATATTAAACCGAGTCAGGAAGACTGGGACAAGCGATTGACTCTTATCACCAGTCTCTATAATAACTTCGTGCACCGTGCTACTAGAATGACTCCCACCCAGTTACATCTTGGTTGAAAACCCAGAACTGCTTTGGACTTTCTTCTGCCCGAGAATCAGCCAGCAGCAGCACCCGGTAGCATCAAATACGAGCAGATGCTACAGCAGGCCGTTGATCATATAAAAAGGTCTCAAGATCCCATGATTGCATCAGAGAACAAACGCAGACGGCCCTCTAACTTTCAGGTAGGTGACAGAGTCTGGGTTAAGTCATCTGAACTCGGTCAGGAGTTGGGTATATCCCGAAAGCTAATGCCACAGTATTTTGGCCCATGGGAAGTCCTAGACATAGCCGGGAACCAGATAGATGAACCCTCCTACGTGATTAAGATCCCTGATCACTTACACACACATCCGGTTTTCCACGCCTCAAAGTTGGCACCTTTTGCGAAACTGCACAGTTCCGTTCCAAGACGACCAATGCTGCCCCCAACCATGGACAGTGAAGTCGACATTGATGACATTGTGGAGCATAGAATCACGCCTGTGTCGAAACCTCTCAGGTATAGGACAACCTCCAAAGCCTCGGATGCAATATCAGGTGAGATTCAGACACCATACTGATCCAAGTGAAGAACGGTGGTTTACCAGAGAGGAACTGAAGCAAACAGCTCGCTAAGTGATTGCTGGATATGAAAGAAGACTCAAGCGGAAAATGCATGCAAGTTAAAGGGCTTCTCAGAGGACTATCCAAGTACAGGAGGAGGGAATGCGAGGATTTGGCTTCTCAGCAGGCCTAAGGGCCCCATTTTGCAATATGTGCCCGCCCTAAGTGAAGGCGGGCCTGATGAAATTACGAGAGGCCCATTGTTGTCAATTTCGCAATTGGGGTTCAGACAGTTGCGTCGTGTCAGTTTGTTGAAGGAACCCAGGCCACAGGCAGCAGCATTTTGTTTCGGCCTTCTAGGCCTCTTTGGGAAGAATGTGGGAGCAGGCCCTGGCCCGCTCACAAAGCAGGAAGCACGACAGGCAGTTGGGAGGCGTAACCGAACGGGGCCCAGGGCAGTAACAGCGTGGGCCAGAGGCCCAGCTGCACACGGCCTACCGGAAGCTTCTGGGTGCCAGCCCAGCCAGGCAGCACACCAGGCCAGACACTTTCCACATAGGAAAGTGTTCCCTGCCTGGCCAGACATTTGGGCACTTGCCAGTTGTGCGGCAGCGTTGCTTGAGCCTGCGTTCGCGTGTTGTTGGCTGCGCTAAGGCAAGGTGCTCGTGCACGTGCGGTCGTGTGTGCAGAGCCTCCATAGCCGGTCGAGCTTGGTTGTACAGCAAGGGGTAGTGGTGGTCTTCATGCATGGGGAAGAAGATGCGGGTGAGAGAGAGAGAGAGAGAGAGAGAGAGAGAGAGAGAGAGAGAGAGAGAGAGAGAGAGAGAGAGAGAGAGATGTCGTGAGGGCACATAGCTGGTCTTGGCAATAGTCTGCAAGGATCGACATCTTCAAGTACTTCGGTGCTGCTGCTGATGTCAACAGTTGCATTGTCAATTCATAGGCTGAAGTAACTGTGTGCTGAGAGCCAAGTAGGGGACGGCCCTGGATACTTATGGTGGTGATGGCGAGAGTATGCTCTCATTGACACTCGGATTCAGTGTTTTGGTACTCCATTGGTGTAATATCGGTGCAATTCTGCTTTCTGGACAGTGTGGGACTTCATGGCTTTCAATGTGATTTTGCAATCTGAAATCTGTCATTTCGCTATTGCTCATTTTCCTTGCACTTTGAATTTAGTAATTTCAGTTCATAACTTTATATAACTTCAAAGTTCGAACTTTCCAGTTCAATTCAGAACGTCTTAGTCTTCAGACTGGCAGCACTGTCAGTGAACTCTCTCTCTCTCTCTCTCTCTCTCTCTCTCTCTCTCTCTCTCTCTCTCTCTCTCTCTCTCTCCCCCCCCAACGGGCAGAAGCGGTGGGCGGCACGTTGAAACGGACGCTTTGAAATTGCTCGGAACTGTGTGAAACCTGCCACCCCAAAAACCTGCAGTGTCTTGTGTCCGGACCTCTAGGCCCTGTCTGGTGGGGTAAAACGACACTGACAAAACACCCCATTATTTTTCAAGGGGCGGCCAGGACCCAAAAAACGTCCTGGGCCGCCCCTTTATTTTTTTCGATTCTCCCCCTGGGGGCCTTCATCAGGACATAAGGACCGCACACCGAACACCAGACATGTTGTTCCGGACTGTCTGGAACCCGGTCCGGACGTCCGGTCGGTTACCATGCTTGTAATGGAGCAAAGAACCAAACTGCGGCTCCGCAGAATAAAATGGAGAAAGAACGGTCAAGAAAGAAAAGGAAAAAAAGCAGGTTGAAGTCCACACTCTTGAAGTTCCACACTTTTTGAGTTTAAACTTTACGAGTTCAAGATTTCAAACCCACCTTCTTTCCCTTTAGAGGAAGTCCATTTTCCTTCAACAGTGCCTTCAACTTATCGACCGTAAGGTTTTGCAGCTCCTTTTCACTCATCTTGCCTGAAACACCACCCGAGCTTCCACCTGCGTTCTCTGCACGAACAAGGAGTGCAGGGGAAATAAATAAAAAACCTAGCTTACCTGTAGCGGCTCCGCCCCCAAAAAAACGTGGAAAGTTTGCAAAAAAAAGCAAGTCGCATGAGGGGTGTGGTGGCCTGAGTGCAGTTGCATAGCAACTGGCCTGTTCTGTCCGGAAAACTTTCACACCTAATACCTTGTCAGCACATCTCTCTCTTGGTGCATAAGAAATGTTCTCTTTCAGATGTCAGAAAATACGCAATTCTTCACACTTGGGGAAATTCTTTCAACTTTGTTTTTCTTTTTCTTCGTTTAACGATAAAAGCCAGCCACTAAAAAACTATATGTGTGCCTGTGTGTGTGTAAGTCCCATCTCAGTGGGGCAAGGCAGTGTGATTCAGAGTTGCGCAGAGTAGTTGAGGTAAGTCGTGTGCAACTGTAAGACTGCCACTGTTTTCAGCAGGTCTCGTAATGTATGACCGGAGCATACGACATCCTATCTACCTGGCATTTGCTGCCAAATATGAGAAATTCGATTATGCATCTGAAGTAGCGTTTTGATATGAGCCGTAACACTGGGCATGCCAAAGAATCTTGGAGGATTCCCTGGAAAACATAATACAGAAAAGAAAAATGAAGCAGCATGTGTCAAAGTCACTTCGTGGACAGGGCAGCGTCCCCGCTCCCCCCCCCC